TATATATTGGTGCATTAAAATATGAATTACATTTTTAAAAGTTAAATTGGTGGTATTTAATTTGTTTCGTGATATGATACATTGGGTGGCATAGAAGTTGGTAAGTTTGGGTGCTAGATATGTAAATACATAGGAATTGAGTGCTAATGTATGTAAATGTCATAAGAGGGAAGATTAGAAAAGCGACAAAATCCGTCCGTCGTCTCCCGTTGTCACTCCTCACTCTGGTCCAATAGCACCGGAAGCTTGAAACCATGGCTTCTGCTATGTCCCTCTTTGCCTTCACCACACCATCTCTCTGCTTCTATGTCTCCTCTTCCTCTTCCCCCTCCCCCTCCTTCCTCCACCGACCACTAAATTGCAGGCCCTTTCCCCTTAGCTTATCTGCGACGACAACATCGCCAACCATCGCCGCGTCTAAAGGGGACATCGAAACGACCTTCTTCGACGAAGTTGATCCCAACGAAATCGTTACCTTCGACCCCCCGCAACCGCCGGAGGGTTATGTGCCCCCTCCGGCTTTCGACGAGCTACCTCCAGAAACTGAAGAGGAGATCACCGCCGCCTACGAGGAGATATACGGGCCGGCTTACAGCGGCGAGAGTGCTCTCGGGAATGACATTTACGTCATGGACGCCAAATTGAAAAAGACAAGCAGTCCTTTGGGGAGAAAGAAGAGGGAAAAGGTGGCCGATGGGTTCGAGGAGAGAGTGGTGCAGGTGAGACGGGTGACCAAGGTGGTGAAGGGAGGGAAGAAGTTGTCGTTTAGGGCGATTGTTGTGGTGGGGAACAAGCAGGGGCAGGTGGGAGTCGGGGTAGGGAAGGCCAAGGAGGTCGTGGATGCCATTGCCAAGTCGTCGACCAATGCACGGAGAAATATTGTTACTGTGCCGATGACGAAGTACTTAACGTTTCCTCACAGGTAATGCATGCTTTTATTTATTTATTTGTTTCTTTTTTTGAGTTGCTGCTTGATCTTTTGGGGAGTGGTGGATTTTGTTACTGGAGTTCCACTGCAGATGAAACCTTTTTTATGGATGCGGGCATTGCTAGGTTTAAGGGCTTAATACAAAATACGAAAGTGTAATAACTTTTTTCTTTATTGGAAGTTATAGTTTTTGCTTAAACTTTTTTTTTCTGAAGCCTTACGAGAAATTTTGCTTCACTGGGGGAATATGTGTTTTAATTCAAATATGGAACTTGTTTAAATATGTTCTGCTATCATATACAGAGTCGTCAATCTTTAACCATAGGCATCTTTTTTATGTCATCAACATAAGTGTTTTGATGAACAGACACTGCATCTTCTTTGCCAAATGCTTCCAATGCTTTTTGAAAATGGAATCATTGACTCTGACAAGTGATCATGATATGAACTATAAGTATCTTTTAATTTAAAAAAAAAATGATGTTTGGCTTCCATCCGCTATGCTTTTTTTGGAAGAGTGGCTAAGATGGTGATGCATCAAGTTCTAGTCACAAACAAACCTAGATGATGCAAGGAATTCTTTTTGGAGAAGTACTGAAACTACAAGAGCCTGTAATTGCTTGTGCCATGTAGGAAATAAGAGATGCTTTTTTTAGATATTTTGTTTTAAATCCAACTATGTTATTAACTAGATAATGATATGAGTAAATCTAGGGTATTAGTTAGAATGCTAGAGCAAAACAAAAAATATAATAGGGCATCAAAAGATACAGTGATTTTATTTGGAACATTTAATCTCAGTCTAGCAAAAATATGAAAGTGATGATAGATTTCTTCTGATTTTCGTCTCTTCTGTTATAAAAAAATTGATATTTTTTAGCCACTTATGCGTCAATAATCTGAATGGCCCAATTAGATTGAAAAGCTTATTGTCACAAATAGTCGTTTTATCCAAAGTGATAATATTAATAGTTGATGAAGTAATGAACATCTAGGGGCTAGTAGGAACAAGAAAACAAACCGTTCTCTTACAAAGAAATTAACTTTGACTAGGTTTTTGGAGCAAACTTAAATTGAAAAGGGGAGAACTTTCACTAAATGATTAGGGTGACGAGGAGATCTACCACTTAGGGTTGTAAAAAAAGCTCATTGTTCGCGAACAACTCGTGTTTGGCTTGTTAAGTAGTTTGTGTTTGAATTGTTCGTTATATAAACAAGCCGAACACAAACAAATTTTTAAGCTCGAATTATAAATGAACCGAATACAAACAATCCTTTGTTTGATCATGTTTGACTTGTTTTAGCTTGAATTAAGAAAATTATATATATTATTTATATAGTGATTTATTATATATTTATATCTAGATTAAATTATCATAACTTGTGTGGTCACGTGGTTTTGTATTTTTTATTGCATAGGAATAGTGCAGGACCCCATCTATTTTTCTAGTTAATTTAAACTAGGAAAAACATGAACAAGAATAAAACAAGCCGAAGTGTTATCTACGAGATTTGCAGATCTTTCTTTTCAGGCAGGTACAAAGAAATGGGACAAGATAACATCAGCGGTTCGCGTTGATGGCGTTCACGGACGGAATCGGAAAATGAAGGAGCCTATAGTACCGTTTAGGGAAGCTCAATGTAAAGGTGTGACTGACAGGAGCAAAGTCATAAAGAATCTCACATTCTCGACAAAAAAAGTTTGGTGAAATTTTCAATTGGAGACAAGATACAGGATCAAGTTTGGTGAGTCGAACACGAACACATGATTCACAAGACAATTTTGAACATAATTAATTTTGAAAAGCCGAATATGAGCCAAGTTTGAGCTCTTTCAAACGAACTTGGCTCGTTTTAACCCTACTTCCACTAAGTGATTAGGTTGATTAATATGAGCATGAGGTTGATGTTTTTTGCTGCTCAAATTGACGATCGATCAACTTTACAAACAATCTAAGAATTTATGTCAAAGAATATGACAAGAAAAGTGATATGATGGATTATTTTTAAATTTCATCTTTTGTTGATATCTAGACAATGATCACACAATCCACATTTCCTTTTGAAAGAGCAAAAATTTCTAGTTCCACCAAAACTCTAGCCATAGAGGGCCTAAAAAATTGTTTAAGGGCCTATAAAATTGTTCTATTGCAACATTCTACTTTCAGAAGTTTTTCATAAATAGAAGCAAAGAGAATAAGGTGGATTGGTTGAAACAATGCACACCAATTCGTGAAAATTAAATCCTGTGATGGATGGTTTCTTGGAGCAATCGAAATGAAGGGGATCATTTTAACTTATATATCCAGATTTCACTAAGATAGTAAGAATGTCATTAGAAGTGTTTGATGTAACTTGCTTCAAAACAAAGCCTTATGATGATATTACGAGTGCCAATGAGCCCAAAAAAGTTGGCACTTAATAGTTGAAAATCAGATGCAAACTTGCGAATTACCTCCATGCTAGAATGATCCATGAAAAATTTGCTAATTATGTGTGAGGGCGAGAGATCTAGCAAGCTTAGAAAAATTCTCTTCAAATAATAAGAGACTATGCCTGTCTTGAATATGTTGAAGAGTATGAGTTTTTACAAAAAATAGTATTGTTGAGTGGGGAGGTAAAAACTTACGTATCATTTGAACCATGAACAACATTCATGAAAGAGCACTTTGGTTAAAGCGGAAGGGGCTCAACCATTAGGGAAGAACGAAGAAGTAGCTTTAGAAGCATCTGGGGTCATCAGGTATGAGGTGGTGAACTTGTAAGGGAGTTAGACAAAGCACTGGGAGAAGTCATTGTGGGAAGATTCCCCAAATAGAAATCACTAGAAGATACATCGATCGACCCCTATCTCGAAGGAAAAGTAAAAATCTATTGCTTGTGAGAGAGAAAAGGATGGCATGATGAGCGTTGCCTTAGGAGCAATAGGAGTAGAGGGTAAACAAGACATCAACGCCATGAGGTTGCATTGGTGTCAATGATAACGCATAGAAAAAAACACAAAAACTTCTTGCTAGTGCTGCACGAGAAAGAAAAAAAAATGCAGACAACGCAGTTTGGACATCACCATGCGAAGCCTAGGCTAACATTGCAAACTTCTCCTGAAACTCCAAACTTTTGACGTCACCTACAATGCCAAACTGTGAAATGCCAAGTAGGGGATGTCAGTAGTGATGCCCTAGCTTGGCAATGACTACCCTTTACCGTTAGATGAACCTGTGCTACCAAATGCAGGCCACATGGACGTCTCTTTCATGGATGTCTACCATTAGACAAAGTATATGAATGTCTCTGAGCTTGTTGCTACCGATGTTGTCACCTGCTCTGAGAGATGGATATAATAATAATGAAAAAATCCTAAACCATCTGATTCATACGCTGCATTTACAAGTAGGTCTTGTCATTTGCATCATAGCAATGAAAAGACCATAAGTCATCTGATGAATAGCTTGTGTATTTTGGAGCTTTGGTAACTATGAAGATTCTCCTGATGGTACACAAAATCATTCCTCTTCCCAGAGAACTTGGTGATGTGGTTTGTCTCCCGCGCTTGTGCGGGACGCGTGTCTCCCGCTCCTATCCACTCCTATGTAGAGTGCGGTAACATCTAGCTACCGGGACCAGTTCAGCCAGCCCCTGTGTGAACCGGTTAGGTCTAGTGAATCTAATGGGCCAGTTTATCCTTTCTTACCTTGGGATTGCCACCTAAGTTACCCTAGTATTTTAAATACCTTGTTTTCGTATTTTAGGGCAAGTTTTTGCTGTGTTTTCTGTCATGACAGCTGCAAACATCTCCAGGTTTTCACTTGTAGGGCTGTTTTCAAGGGCAATTGATGTTGCAGTTATATCTCGTTCCGAGGTGGTGACTATCATAAACTTTTGCATCTTTCACAACCTTCCTTCTGCTGCCACCATCGCCGTAACTACTGCAGCCCCAAGGACAGAATGTTTGCTGTCTCTTGCTGCCCCATACCTCTCCGTCGCCCTTCCCAGCCACCTTCTCTGTCTTCCTGCAGCCGCCTCCCTTCCACCCTGCACTCCACCGTTGGCCAACTTCCCTACCATCCACCACAACCTCAATCTGCCTAACACCCCACCTCCCTTCTGCCTGTTGCTGTCCACTGCTGGTCAGCATCCCAATAGCTTACCTTCCAGCACATCATCCCTTCCCTTACTGCCCAGGCACACTTCTTCCCTCCTGTAGCATAACCGCACCATCTTTTTTGCAGGCCAGACGAACTCATCTCCTCCAACTGCAGTCCAGCCACTTTCCCTCGTATGCTGCTCCACTATTATCTCCCACTGCAGCTCCCACAACCAACCTCCACCCTTCTAACCCACCGAATCTGCCACCACCACTTGGGATGCAACTTTAATTGTGTTTGTCGGTTTTTGTTATTGTTTTTTCCCTTACAATGTGTCAGTTGTAACCATTTGTTGACTCTTAAATAAGAATATTTGTTTTTCTGTTGTTATTTGGGTTAACTCTGGTATCACTTGGTTTGCCACATAAGTTGAATCAGCCTTCTCAAGCACCTTTTGAAGTAATACATGGAGAAAATTGCCTCCTTTAATTTAATTCCATCATGATTTTTTTTAAGATAGTCATTTTACCTGTTCACCTTTGCGACTAGCTGAAATGATCCAAATAGCATATGATTGGCTTTTTCTTTTGAAACCATTACAGGAAGCTTATTTCTAATCTTAGTGTATAGATGCCTGTTTTTAATGCTTTCTAAGCACATATACAAATTCTTGTATCTGTTCATTGTGCATTTTGACAATGGGTTGAGTGGCGCATTAGCATGTCATGTATCGTTTTTTTTCCTTTTTTAGAATTGTCTAAATATCTGCACTCAGTTAACCATGCTGCTCAAATTACTTTAATCCAAAACTATATTCTAACAAGGGAAATTTACGTACAAACCACACTATTCATATGTATTTACATATCCAACTCCCAAACTTTGATATTTACACTTCTAATACCTTGG